CTCCAACCCCCCACCCCCCCACCCCTTTCAACCCCTGGCAGTTGAGCTGCTGGTGGGGCTGGTCCAGCTGGCGGGCCTCTTTGGCATCATCGGCGTCAACGCCGCCGGCGGATGACGAGCCGTGACACGCGACTGCCGCCGGCCGACCGGCGCCCGGCCGGCGGCCGCGGCCCATTCGCCGCGGCGGCCAGCCGGCGGCGGCGGCCGTTGCTGGGCAAGCCGGGCGTGCAAGTTTGGCGCCTGAGGGGGAGCCGGCGGGTAGGCTGCTCTTGGAGGGAGCCAGAGGGACATTCATTTTGGGCTGCCCGGCGTGGCGCCCGCGGTGGGCTAGCGGGGCGGGGCGACCGAGGCGCCGCGTCTGTTTCTTATACATAGAGGTTCTGCCACTTGTCCGCTTGCTCACGACTGCAGCCGCGCGCTTTGCAGACTTCTGCTCAGGGCCGTGCATTTTGAGGCGCTTTGTTGGGGCGCGGGCGGCCGTGTGAGTTCAGCCGGGTCCTAGCGCGGCCGCCACCCCGCCACCATACTGCATTCGCCAGGGCCGCGTGTCGTGTGCCTGGCTGCATCCCCGCGCATCGTGGCGCCTGCAAACGGCGCCATGGACCCTCACATGCCCCTGAGCGCCTCTGCGGCGCCCAGGCCTCTCCTCCTGTTTTCCTGAACTTCCATTGTTTTCCTGTAATCGCTCTTGCTCTGCATTCGGCGGCTGCGCCAGGTTGTATAAGCAGGCCTTTACACGTTTAAATGGGATCAAGGTACAGCACAGGAAAGGTTTATGTATATAGCAGGTGCCGGCAGCATCCACACCATAGCCAGAGGGTGTGCTGCAATCAACACCCCTACGGACACGGGCCGCAGTGCCCAGGCGTGCCCTGCCGCTGCAAGTCGCAAGTCTATCCTGACAATTGCCAAGGCACAAGCCCACCTGGCTGCTGCACAGGCAGCAATACGTAAGCTGCCTCGCCTGTCGAGTCACAAAGCGCGCCGTTGGGGCAAGCAATACACACCCCACAGGCGGCCGCACGCCTGGTGCTGATGATGCAGGTAGTGACACCCGCGTGCCGCATTGTCAATCAACACCCCTCTGCACCGGTCTTGCCTGCCCTTTGCCCCAGAATGCCCCATGTGAAAAGACGCGTCAGCCGCGGTCCCGCCACGCCAGCAAGCCGCAGGGCCCAAATAGGGGCGCCATTGGCTGCACAGGGGGCGGCGTCAAAACAGATGGTGGTGGCACAGCGGCCGAAGGGGGCCGGTTGCAGTGCCAAGGAAAGCGGGGAGCAGCAAGGGTCGGACGCGCCTTGAGCAGGCGCGGCGCCTCGATGCCTTGCTTTGAGCGAGCATTGCGGTCGTGCGGGGGGAGTGGTCGTGCGCAGTTCGGCCTCGTGTGCCACGCCCTACCAAAGGTTTGTTGCGCGGCGCAGCGCGCCATTTGCGGGCGCGCAGCCGCGGGGGAGCGGGAGTGCATGTGATGCGCCGGCGGCGCCGGGGTGCGGCCGTGCTGTTTCGCGGCCCGGCTCGCGCCGCCCACGAGGGGTTCAATCCTGATGGCTGATCTGATGGTACACCGCCCAAACCGATTCCTATCTTATGTGAGTGGAACGACGCCTGAATCGCCGGCGTCGCGGGGGCGTGATGCTGCAAGGGCCGAGGCATGTGATCGGGGTCGCATGATCATCGTGAGCGCCCAGTAAGCGCCATGGCTACACGGGCCGCTGCATTCTGGGCCGCACCCACACGCCTGGTGCGGGCCGCACGGCCGAGTTGTCGGTCACATCGCGCGGCTGCAGCACAGGAGAGGGGGCGGGCGAGGGGCTACCGCGCGGGAGCGGCGAGCGGCCCCTCTGAACGCCCGGACGAGGCCGCGGGGGGGGCACACCCCTATGACGCCGCCGCAACCAGTGGATTAAGCCACGAGAACAGCGGGTTGAGCTGCTGCCACTGCGGCTGCCAGTGCGGCTGCCACTGCGGCTGCCAGGGCGGCTGCTGCTGCTGCTGCTCCTCCGACCGCCGCTCGCACTTCTCCTGCAGCGCCGACAGCACGCCTCGCAGCTGACGACGGACCTGCGGGGGCAGGCACGCACATACACAAAATACGATATGGGCAGGCAATAGTTGCGAGCGCTTGCCCGGCACCAGCGCGCGCCGAAAAGCAGTGTTTTGGCGGTGCGGAGGTCGGCCCGACCGTGGCCGCGGCCTGAGCAGCACGCCGCTTCGCTGCAGAGCGGCGTGCAGGCGTCCCAAAAGGGGTCAGCGCACCTGGCCGCCGACCATGCCGCGGATGCCGAAGGGCACGAAAATGTTCGGCTGCAAGCACGTGCGCGATTCAGGGGGTCCGGCAAACGTGTGGGGGGAATCCTCTATACCAAAGCGGCGGCGCCACCTGATGGCCAAGATTGCGCAACGCTGCATCGCTCTGCGGCCTCAACGCCACCCGATTCGCCGCAGACAGCCCGGGGACCGCCCTGCGTGGGCCGTTCACAGCCGCACTGGGCGCCACCAGCAGCACACGTCGCCCCAAGCGGGCAGCCAGCAATCACCAGCCCGCCAGCCCACCTGTACAAACATCTCCATCTCAAGCTCGCACTTGCCAGGCGCCTTCTGGCGCACGCCCACCCTGCGTAGGCGCGCGGAGGCAGTGAGGGCCACGGATAGCATGATGGGCCAGAAGCGGCGCACGAGGGCAGGGGGTGATGCCACGCCCCAAGGCAAGCACGCCGGCACTGCTTACAGCAAAGGCAGCCGCCACAGAGCGCTGCTGTGCATCCATACCCTGGCTGCATTGTGGAGGCAGGCCGGGGCGCCGACGAACCGGCTCGAAGATTGCTGATGTCAGCATGACACAAGCGCGGCCCACCTCGACCTAAAGTTCCGCATCATGGTGCCTTTGGTGAGCTCCGTCTTTATGGTCAGGGCCTTCGGGTCCTCAAGCTGCGCCAGCTGCAAATGCATGTCGCCGCGCAGGGCGAGAAAGTTCCAGCTTAAGACCTGGGTTGGGGGTTGGTGCGGCGGAAGGGCAGAAGGTTCCGCGGGGGATCGTCGGCTCGGGCCGAGAGTCGCGAGAACATCCAGGGCGGGAAATGATTCGGCCAATTGAAATGCTTGGGTCTGAGATGCAGAGTGGGCGCTGGGCGTCGAGGACCGGGGACGGGGCAACGGCGCGAGCGGGGCCGCGCCAACGCGCGGCGTCCCGCGCGGGTGCCCAGGGCCGGCGGCCTGCGGGGCGGCAGTTCTGCTGACCTGGTGGACGTCCTTTTGGTTGCCGTTGCGCCCGATGACCTTGGAATGCTTCACGCCATGGTGCCATGTGGGCTGCTGCTCCACGTCGGCTGCGTGGGGCGGGAGGATGGGGGCGCGTGCGCAGGCGGGAAGGTGTGCACGCCGCGGCGAGGCGGCGGCGTGGCGGCGACGCTGCTGCCGCGGGCGGTGGGGCGCCCACGAGGCTGCTGCCGCAGCGAATCGCGAATCACCGAGCAGATCGGAACGGCACATGCACTTCGGAACCGCGCGCGTCTCCGGGCCGCACCGACAAAGCGGAAGACGTCCACGGCGCTGCTGTTGACCTCCACCACACCCAGGGCGCCGAACTCGCCCGAGGGCCCGCGCAGCCCCTTGATCAGGACGCCCATTGCAAGAATACAACTAACTCCCTAGCGCTTGTGGGCGCCTGCAGTCCTATGACGAAACCCGCGCCCCGCCTTGCGTTTATCAGTGGGCTGCGGTGCACCTCCCGGGCCTCTGCAACGTCGACCGATACAGACTTGATGACAGAAGTACACCTTGGCAGCAAACGCCGCTGCTCAAGCGAAGGTGGACACTGTGTCAGCGACAAGACTGCAGCTAAAAAGCGCGTGTGATGCGGGGAGGAAAGAAGAGAAAGGGGAGCAGCTTATCATTGTAAAGCAATGCGGTATCAAAAAGTTTTGATCAGCTGATGCCGGAGGTGCAAGCTTACCGTAGCTAGCCACCGCTGCAGCCCTGCCGCCTGTCATACGCGTGATGCAATCACGTTGCGCACCGTGTGCTGTGCAGCCGGTGTCTTTACAAAGCTGAATTTGATATTGTGTGCACATTTCGTGCCAACCCATGCATCAGAGTTATTCGTTCACTCACTGCTGACGGCCCATGCGCTTTGTGTGCTGTGTGTGATGTGGGTGCGCCTAGAGGAAAAATGTGTACAGCGGCTGGGGGTGGCCTGCCTCAAACAGACAGCGAGCGAACGTGAGTTTGCTGTCATGGCCTTTTCCATGCAGCGCGAATCCGCAACAATACTGATCTGAGGGCTAGCACGCACCTCAAACGTGTCAGGCGCTGCTGTATGGAACTGGCGGCGGTCCAAGTACCACTCTGCGTGCTGCAAACAGTCCGCGTCGCACAGCTGCCTGCGAAGGTCGGTGTCAAGTAGGCAATAGCCGCAGCACGCGCCAGGTTGCACGGTGCATTACAGTCGCCCGTTCCAGCCCCTTCAGATAGTAATGGTGAATGCCATGCCTCCTGCTTCCTGGCACACAAGCTTCGCCTTGGTTCCTCTGCCAGTGCATGTGTGCGGCTGTTGGTGTTCCACGGCGATGGCTGGCCTTGCACACGCGCACACTAACCCTGCGGCGAGCCTGCACGCATCATGCACGCCCTCGCCGCTTCGCACGCATGCATGCACGCGCACATGCTGAGCGGTTGGCGCATAGAAGTGTACCACGATCGGCTTGCGCCACCGCGCACCACCGCACGCCCGTGCTGGGCGCTCTGCGCTCAGCACTGTCGACCGGCCCGGCGCGCAATCGCGGAGCGAGCGCTGGGCTTGGCCGCCCGTACCACCAGCGGCGCCTGCCTGGGGCGCTGGCGTAAATAGAGTTTAGGGAGCAGATCCGGCCAAAACTGTGCTCCACGCGTTTTCCCGTTCACACAGTTTTGGTATACTGCATACAGTAGAGAAGAGATCTGGTGACACGTGGGCCTCCAGGCTTCACTGCCGGTAGCTGTCTATAACATAGACTTTCCATAAATTAGATTTTTCGGTTACGCCACTGTTTATTCTACCGTACCGGGGTATAGTACGGGCGGTCAGGCGACAAGCAACGAGCACAAGCAGCGCTGGCCCGCATTGACAGCTTCGAGCAGTTGATCCTTGCATGCTCGACCGGCACCGTGCGTGTATTGCCCTGCAGCCTGTCTTGAGAGGAGGCTAAGGAGCGCCTTCGCTACTACCTGCATTAGGTAAGATCACAAGAGGATGCCAGGGACTGGGTGGCGCTATTTCAATTATATGCTGTACGCTGTCTGAATCGTGATGCCCATCTCTATGTAGTGTGCGCAGGCCCCGGTCGGCATGGATGCGCCGCCTCCGAGGCAGCAGCTGTTGCTGGCACTGCCTGAGCTGTTCCCGGGCGATGACAACATCGAGTTCTGCGGCGAGGCGGCAGTGGCTATTGGCCAGAAGCCCGCCGACTGGGCCGCCGGTCTGCTGGGCCTGCCGATTGGCTACAGGCGGGCGGCCATCAAGGCAGCCGTTCGAGGTGCGCGGGTCCGTTTGTGGTACGATTGCCCGCTGTCGCAACCTTGCAGTGCGCCTCATGTACACAAAAGTCCTTGATGACGCTGGCAGGCAGTTGTTGGCGGTTTTTATCTGTGATGCCGCTCACAAGGACAAGGGGTCAGAACGTGCGTGACAGCAGCAGCTGGCGGACCCTTTACTTGCTGTTGTGCGGGGCTTCCCAGTGATGCTGGCGCCCTGCAAGCGGCTTGTCCCTGGTTGCTGCTCCAGACATGCACCGCAGCTAGCCTGAGCGTTCGAATCACATGCGCATGGACGCCCACATTCTGCTGTGGGCAGAGCTTGCATGACCTTCCCGCAGCTCGCCCCATCCTCATGACCCAGTTGCTCATCATGCTCATCGTGCATGCATATTGCTGCTGCGCCCCCGTCCTCCCTCGTTCACGCAACATGCTGCATGATGCCACCCACTGGATTGCTTCTGTGCCTGTTCAACTTTTGGCCACTTTGTGTTGCCAACAACCTGTCGTTCGCTGTCCAGGCGCAGGATTGACAGCACCAGGTGAGCTCTACCTGCACCCCACGGCCCTGATCACTCAGTGGCTGGGGCTCAGGCTCCTTGGGGTTGGCAGCAGCAAGTGCTGCTGGTCCAGGCGGAGTGGATCGTGTATAGGCCATTGCTAACCTCCTTTTGAAGGTTCAGCTGCACGCTGCAAGCGGGGTGTGGCGGCAACGCCGTGCATCATATCCCTTGCAGCAAGCACGGTCATTCCGTGCTCGTGTTGTTTGGTCGGCACCGCTTGCTTGGGTGCCTGCGGGTGCTGATACACTGACTGTGCACCTTTGCGCTTCCCATCTTGTTTTTCTCTCTCGCTGTGCTCCATCACCGCCTCTAAGCTTTCCTTCCACAACGTCCTTTCACCACCTCTGCCCATCACGGTTCCCCCCTGGGCCTCTGCGCATGCTCCACAGCAGCGGGTGAGGTGCTGCAGGGGTTTGCAATGATGCCATGCTTGCGGCCGGCCCGCTGGTACTGCACCCCCAGCCACTGTTTGTGGAGCAGGCAAACGATCGCCAGCAGCAGCCCTCGTTTTGTAGAATCCGTGCAGCTTGCTGGCTACTGTTGCCCAACCAACAGCATCGCTTGCATGCAATTCTAGTATGTGGCATTCTTGAGTCAACACAACCTCTCTTTCCGTATCGCGTGTGACGCTGTTGCATGCGTCAATGCAGATACTGGGGCGCCCAGGGGGCCATCGCAGTCACCGTCGCTGCCGCGGCCGTTTGGCTCAGGTGCGCAAGAAGTTGCCCACGCACATCAACAAAACACTGTGTGCAGCATGTCAGCTGACACCGCTTAGCTCTCTCATCCAGGAAAGCTGGTCCCACGCTGTGCTTGTCTGGCTGCACTCCTTGCCTAGTGGTGTTGTGCTGCAGGCATGTTGCCCAGTGTGGCGCCAACACCCTTAGCCAGCCGGCCCTTGTGGCATGGTGCCGTTCCCGTCCGCCTGGCGACCTGTGCGTGCTGCGACACCCACTGCAGGCAGGGTACCTGAGAAGAAAACGATCAGGATCGTCCAAGATTGCCTGCCGAGCTTTGACGAATCGTTGCCGTACACGGCCACATTTGCGGACGAGGCCGACTTCAAGGTACTGCTGCACCTCGTCGCTGCGGGAGGCATGCGTGGCTGTGTGAATGTGCTTCACTGCATAACACCCTACCGCGTGTTGCACACATACTGCCCGAGAGTCGCATGCATGCATCGCAAGCTGCTGCAACTGTCGACGCTATGCGCTCTCGCTGCCGTCGCTCCCTGTGCTGCGCCACTGCCCTGCATGCGCATGCCGTGGCGCCTCCATCAATGCATCCCCCGACACATGCCTTCGCACCCAGGCCCCCAACCCTTTGCCCTCGCATGCAGGAATACCTGAGCAGAACGGGCGAGGGAGGCCTCATCTTCTTCGACCAGCAGCAGCTGCAGGCATCCGACAGCGGCGGTCTGTGCGGCAAATTGGTGATGTCGTTCTGTAAGCTGGAGGAGGGGGGCCTGTATGTGCTGGGCTTTGTTTCAGAGCAGGTGCTCAAGTGCCTGCGGGAGGAGGGCGCCAGAATCAAGCGTCAGGAGGAGTTCGGCTGCGCCCTGGAGGCGGTCCTGGCGGAGGAAGACCCAGAGCAGGTGTGGCGCGCATGGGAGGGTCGGCCGAACACCTGCTTCCTTGACCGGCTGCTCGCTGGCGTTGTTTGCACTTTCATCGGTACAGAGATAGCTGATAGGTTCAGAAAAAAGAACCTCTACAGAAATCGGGTCATTCATGTAGTTGATGATTTCTCTCAGATGCTCGGGCTCCCATTTTGCAGATGAGCAATCTGCCAGCGGCGACGCTGGGTACATTCACAGCCTGCCACACCCACCCCGCAGGGGTACAAGCTGCGCCGCGACCTGCGTGCGCTGCCAGGCCCTGCGGGCAGCATGCGCGACTTCGACGCCGTCGTGCTGGGGCGCACCAAGGCATATGTGGGCAGCCACACGATGTACGCGGCGGATGCCGAGTGAGCCGTCAAAGAAGCCGGTTGCAGTGACCTTTCGCTGTTGCCTGTTAGATTGGTGCGACTGGTGACTCCGCACATACGTGAGGGTTTGCGTCACAGCCTTGATGCAGACTTGATCCGTGGTCGCCAGACCCGCCCGCACTCCAAACCTTACTTGCCTACATGGCCGGCACCCCCAAATACCACGGCTGCAGGCCTGTGGAGGAGGTCGCTGACCGCGCTGAGCAGCTGGCCTGGAGGAGCCGAGTTGCAGACGCCAGCACGCTGCTTGGGCAGCTGGCTGGGCGCGATTTGCGCGCCGCGTTCATGGCGGACAAGGTGAATTTGCACGCCGAGCAGCGGGTGCGGGAGGCCTGCAAGCGGCGCAATGTGCTGCAGCTGCGCCGCACAGGCAGGTCCATAGTCCGCGTCCAGGGCATGGCGCTGCGGGTCTGCGGTGCATCCAGACCGATGGCACTTGGCTGACTGCTGGCACGAGCTGTCTGCTGTCTGTGTGTGCGTGCGTGCGTGCGTGCGTGCGTGTGTGCGTGTGTGTGTGTGTGTGTGTGTGTGTGTGCGCGCGCGCGGGTTGTTTGCGTGCGCGTGCGTGCGTGTGTGGGTGTTGTGGCCATGGTTGCTGCTTGCCTGGCGGCGGAGCCTGACGTGACGGACGCTACCATTTCCTTTCACACACGGCCCCCACTTGGAGCTGGTTGCGTTGTCGGCAGGTTTTTGTTGTGCGCCTCGCTGGCTCGCACTGTATGGTGGCGCGTACAGTTGTTTTTTGGGCTGGCGGTTGAAGCTTGCGCGTGCTGTGTGCTGTCTCGTGACTGTGCAACTAACGGCCCTGCCAAAGACTTAGCGTTCTGTTTGTGTGGATCGAAAATTGCGTTGTTGCGTGGTGTACTTCATCAGCCTGGTTTTCGGGTGTTTGCGTGTGCTTCACCGCAGCTTTTGATAAACACGGCCATGAAGCTGGGGTGATGGCCGCACTGAGGTGGCGGACACTCACTCAGCTCAGCCTGCATCTCTAATTGGGCAGCAGTGCGCAACGCCACAAACACCCCCTCCTCATCGGCCATAAATGCGCTCATGTTTCACAATCAAGAAAGGTTGTGAACATGGTTCTGCATTGATTGCGGGGTCAGCCCACATCGCACAGCCGGCAACCGCTTCAGCATCTCTGGCTTCAAGTCTAAGACTGCCTGGTGCCTGGTCTGCCTGCCAGCTGCTGTTCAATCTGCGCCCTCAACAGCAGATGCAAGCAACGAGAAGGTAAATGGATGCTGCACAGTGGTGCGCCAAACAGTCTAGCTTGCATCCAGCGGGTGCTGGCAGCCCCCCCAGCAGTCAAAATGCGTACAGCGGCTGAACAGAGTGACCTGCCCCAAGCAGGCGCTGAGCCAAAATGCATTGGTTTCACATCATTTTCTTTGCAGGGAGTATGCCCAACAACACTGATCTGATTGCCAGGTAGGACGCATTTCAAGTCTGCCAGGTCCCTGCTGCTTTAATCTGGTGCCATACCACCACATGTGCATGTCTGATCGCCAATCTGCACACGTGAACACCCATGCATGTCGCAGTGCTGCCTGCGAAGACCGGCGCTGAGCAGGCAGCAGCCACAGCACGCGCAAAGGTTGCATGATGCGATTGTGTTGACAATTCCAGCCCCGTCGGTTACATTGAAAAATATTTATGCCCCCAACTTTCTCCTGCACTTGCTTCGCCTTGGTTCCGCTGCCAAAGGTAGATCGTGTTCTGCAGCCGTGGCGCATGCAAACTGCCCCTGTGGCGTGCATGTGCGTGTCTTACGCCTCGACGCCGCTTTGCATGCATGCACACGCGTGCGTGCAGCGCTTAGGGGTGTACCCTGCTCACGCCGCGCCGGCGCACGCCGGTGCCTCCCGCTCTGCGCTGGCTGGCCCGGGCCCCGGCAACCGGCAGAGGGCTGGCGGCCCACAACGCTCGGCTTCCTTCAAAGAAGAATGCACGCGAACTATCGTAGCTACTAAAATAGAAAACGGAACTGGTACCAAAGGAAAACTCACGTACAGTATCATACACACAATTATTACGGTAGCTTACTGCACCAATAGTCTGGACTTCTCCACCAACCCGATTGTTTCGCTACAGCCTGTCACGAGAGAAGGCTGAAGGGCGTCTACCGGTACTGCTGCTAGGTGAGAGCAGGCCATGGACTGGTGCGCGAGTGCCCATTGCTCCAGCTCGGTGCAACTTGCCCCCATGGCACATGCTGCTGCCTTAGGAGAGCATCTGCAAAATAGAAGGATACTTCAACTACCTTAGAGGCGTAGTCAGCCGTCACCGTCCCACAGGGGGGCGCGGAGCTTGGCAAATGTGCATCGAGTGTCAGCGGCAAGCAGCAGAGTGCTCAATGCGAAAGTGGTCCCTGCAAAGTTCGTGCCTTTTGCCGCCCTCTTGCCTGCAAACGTCAGCGGAGACATGCTTCGCATGCTGTCGGTGCCAAGCAGCACACACACGCACAGCACATGCGTTGGCGCAACAGTGTTTTCGATCGGGCTCCCATTCCCCTTGGATGCCCGCAGGTTGTCTGCTCAGGGGGGTGTCTTCAACTGCTTATAATAAGCCGACCAGCAGCAAAAGGATGCAGGAGGATCGAGTGGTGGTGCATCAGGACGGTCAGTCGCCTCGCGCTTATCCACACAACACGCGAGCCTATGAAGTGCTGATGGGTGTGACAGGCAGTGTGGTTGGGGCGCTGCGGCAAGCCGCTTCTGGCCTCAACTATGCAGGCAGCATGCGAGTTCCTGCTGGGCAGTACGAAATCGTGCCAGGTGAGTAGGGAGTACCATGGCTGAACTTGTATCGCCTTTGTTCACAGAGGTCCCCGACACAGATGCGCCAGCTAAATGAGGCGAGAAAGGCTATTTCTTGTTGGCCAGCACTAACCTTTGGTTGAAGTGTTCCGTTGCATCTTGTGAGCATGGTGTGGCAACGACGCCGCGTGCCCCGCAGCTGTGGGCGCATTGTGCAGCAGGCCCGCGTGTTTGTGCCTGGTTCCTCACATCCACATCAGACATCACCGTATTGTATGTGCCGAAATTGCTCGCAAATCTGCTGCATCCCCGCCCGCCCTGTTTTGTCCTTTGCTCACACTGTACCCTATCACCGCCACCGGGCTCTCCTTGCACCTTGCCGTTTCATCACCTCTGCCCATCACGGCTTTCGCCTGGGCCTCTGCGCATGCCCCACAGCAGCGGGTGAGGTGCTGCAGGGGTTTGTGACCGTGCTTGTCGCCAGTCCGCTGGTACTACATCCCTAGACACTGTTTGTGGAGCAGGCAAACATAATTCAGCAGCCGTCCTCGTTCGCAGTAATTGCAACCGCATGCTTCAACTTGTGCAACTTGTTAGCCACAGCTTGTCAATTCATAATTCACCCAGACCCTGCAGCATCACGTGCATGCTCTTCAAGTACTGTATGTTGCATTCGTGTGTCAACACAACCCTCCTCTGTATCACATGTGATGCTGGTGCATGCATCCATGTAGGAACTGGCGCATCAAGGCGGTCATGGTGGCCGCGGCTGTGGTCGCTGCTGTGGCCATTTGGCTCAGGTGCGCAAGGAGTACCGCACACCACCTGGTGGTTCAACCCACCGCTGTGCCTCACCCAGCTGTTTCCTGGTGTGGCTTGGCTTGGCGTCCACACAGGAACGACCATTGCATCCCCTTTTGATGATGCACGTGCCTTGAGTGTGCCCCGCACGCTCGCCTGCGCCTCACGCCGATGCAAACTTTGCCTGCAACTGGCCCTGACCTGACAGCAACTGCGACTGCCAACCTGATGCTGCGGGAGCTGGAGCTGCTCAGGGACGACATAGCGCAGATCAAGGAGCAGCTCAGGGACGACATGGCGCAGATCAAGGAGCAGCTCAGGGTCGACGTGGCGCAGATCAAGGAGCTGCTCAGCGCGCGCGCGACGGGCGGCCGCTTCCCAATGTCTGCAGCCAGCAGCACTTCGTCCTCACCGCGCGCCAACGCCTTGGCTACAGCATCCACAGCGGGAGGGCTGGCCCCTGCAGGATCCCCATGTGATTCGCAGGAGCTGGATCAGGATTTCGTCGAAGCTGTGCGGTTGATCAGGGGCGCTGCAGCGGCGTATGGTGTGCCAGCCGACTTTGGAAAATTTGACGAGCTAACACGTGCTGTGCCGGAGTAATCCTGACACAAGGATCATGTGTATGTGCTGCATCCATATTTGTTGTCTGTACAACCCCAATGCAAAGGGACCACTCAACATGCAAGTGTTAGAGTGTGTGTGTGCGCACGTGCGTGCGTGCGTGTGTGTGCGTGCGTGCGTGCGTGCGTGCGTGCGTGCGTGTGAGCGTGTGTA